AAAATACTGCATAATTTAGCCATTTGTACCTTAGACACCGACTTGTTACAAAACAACCTAATTCCATTAGCGATATTAACACAACGCTAGCTACTTAATTTTAAGAACAACTGGAGGGGTGTTTTGTTTATTAATTTAGGCTCTATTTAGTATAGTTGTGATTTTGAGTTTTTAGTTTGATTTTTAAAAATTTTTAAGCTTTAAAATAAAATTAAATAACTCTATAAATTAATTAAGTTTGGAATTTAAGGTATTTATTTATATAAGTTGCAATTTTAATTTTAATTTTAATTTTTTAATTGTTAATTTTAATCATTTAAATTTTGAAAACCAAAAATTTAAAATCACAACCGGAACCTTTTCTTTTTTGGGTATTTAAGAGGTTTTGCTTCCTTTCCCTAAGCTTTTGCATTTTTTATCCTTCTCTCAGTTGTTGACTAGATTCAGCCATGGTGGGTACTGTGGGCGAGATGAAATGAGAAAACTTAAGAAATTCTTATTCTATTGGTAACATGCACTTCATTTCCAATTAATTTCTTCGGGTGATTGAGTTCTTCCATAGTGGTCCTAATTAATTGGTTTTGTATAGCAAACTTTGTATCTTTCTTTACTTTGTCTCTGATATTTTTTTCTCCTTTGCATTTTTGTTTTGTTCTTTGTCAATTCAGGCTTATTGGTTGAACATTACCTGTTTTCCAAATCTTTGGTTGCCTGGTGAGTTGGAACTGTTTTACAAGTTTTGAAATGGTGTCTTCTACGTGCGTAGAATAGATTATAGTGTCTTTCAGCTTGACTGAAAAGTTCCTTAGGTTTTCTTACTGATTCAAGACTTGAACGTCTAAGTTTATGTGATTTGGTTGTAAATGTGATTACTTAAAAGGTATTGTAGATATTAGGGGGCGGTTTGTTTCTAGTTTCCTCTACCACTAGGGTACTTGTGGCTGTGATTGGTATGATTTAAGATGCCAACTCTACCATCTTGAGTTTGTTTTGTTTCATTGTGTACAATAGGGTGCTATCTTGATTAATGAAAAATGCAAATAAACGGACACTCTGGGAGGACCACAACAATGTCCTAAGATGAGCATTATAATTACACCACTTTTAAATCTTGGATGCATCTATGTATTACCCCAATCTTGTATTAGAAAAAGAGTAGGACTGTAGTGGTATATAAATATGGAAATTAACTTCTTCTTTTTTTGAGAATTAATGAATCTTAATTTAAAAAATTATTAGATTAATGATGTAAACTTTGGTCTAGTTTACCTATTTTATTTTCTCTTATGTTGATGAATTCTACATTAGGAAGAGTCTAAAACTAGAGTGTAAGGGAGCATCCATCTTTGATATGGTCCGTGTTTACACTAACTAGAGGAACTGCGAGTTTCATACAAGATTACGAGCTCTAAAAATGTGAACATGAAAATATACCAAAGACAGGAGATCTGTTTGTTTTTGTTTCATGTTGTTACCTACTGCGTTGACAGGAACACTTTTCAAGGAGTAGATATAGATAAAAACAAAAACAAAAGAACAATAGCTTTTTGAGATATAATTAGAAGAAAATCATTAAAATCATGGATCTCAAATTGACTAAAAGGAGAGGGAAGGCATTTGATCCAGCTATTTCGTTTGAACATAGAACTCAACTGAGTTGAATTTGACCAAGGGCTAAAATTGAAATTGTAACGGTGCAATTTTTTTTCTTTTTTTTCTTTTTTGCTGTCATAGTAACTTGATCATCTGCGTTTCAATTTATCAATTTAATGGCTACCAGCCCGTAATGAACTGGTGTTCTTTGTACACCTAAGGAGTACACCGAAAGGCTAGGGTGACCACCAACTCTATGGCTCCCACCCCACCTACCCACCTCGTGTTCACATTCAACTATATTAATGCCACACTTGATTACAAACTAATATAACTTGAGTTGATCTTTATTTTTAG